ACTTTTGCTGTAAAAACATTTATTTGAACTAAGTAAAAATCTCATAGAAAATCATAAAATTATTTTTTCCTGAATCTCGAGGTTTCAATCGATGATTGAACTTTCTTCGACCGGTCTTATCATAAGGATTAAAAATGTTCATGGCTTAGGATGTCGACTTGAACAAGATAAGAAACGTAGCTTAGGTTCGATGTTAGAGGGTAGTCGTTTACATGAACAAGATAGAAGGATATGAGGCGGGTGGGAGCAATTGTTGTAGATGAAATATACGCTGTTGGAGACCGTCTGGTTAAAATGGTGTAGTTACATATGTACCTTTTTCTACTAGAGATTCTGTGGTGAGATGAAGTGTATCTTATATATGGTCACCATTCAACAGATAGCTCTGACCTGTCATAACCACCTATCTCACCTGTCATAACCACCTGACCTCTCACCTGTCATAACCACCTGACCTCTCACCTGTCATAACCCCCTGAACTTACCTGTCATACAACTAACCACCTGACCTCTCCTCTCACCTGTCATAACTAACTGAACTCACCTGTCATAACTAACTGAACTCACCTGTCATAACCACCTGACCTCTCACCTGTCATAACCACCTGAACTCACCTGTCATAACCACTTAACTCACCTGTTTTAACCACCTGACCGCCCACCTGTCCTACAACTAACCACCTGACCTCACCTGTCATAACCACCTCACCTCTCACCTGTCATAACCACCTGACCTCTCACCTGTCATAACCACCTGACCGCCCACCTGTCCAGGTATTACGCCCATATATCACGGCTTAATATCCTCCCTAATCTCAACGTGAGTAGCCGTGACGGCCGCTAGCGCGCGTGTGTGTGTGAGTAAAGACAGTCCGCCATAAAACCGCCAACAAGATCAAATTACTGCGATTATGGTAGTGTGGACATCTCCGCGGCTAATACGTCTAGATCCGTTGTTAGATCAATCATGAGTTGATGCTAACTCGTCAGGACACACGATTAGCAGGCAGATTAGCTCATGTTTAGCTCCGTCCCTCCAGCCTTTAGCTCAGACGCTTGAAACCCCACTGGGGATGTGAGCGGATTTTCTGCACCTTCCTCCCGCAATTATCACCAAACGAAGCTAATTTTCCGATGCGTTTGTCGCTCCATCTACTAGATGACCTAATTACATATATTTCCCATCGTCCTCTTCATCTGCCTGAAGTAACCAATCGCATTGCTGGGTGACCACATTCATTAAATATCTATAGTAAATCGGCTTCAGTGGATTAATCCGCGGGCGATATTCAAGAGTATATCCTGTGTCGCAGTATTGCTAAATACAGTGTGGAAAAAACATACATTTATAAAATAATGGTCGAAACAGTAATTGGAATAAAAAATATTTCTGCGGGTTAAATTATTCCTTGCAACGCACTTTCAAATTCTTCAAAACTTTTGTAAATAATGTAAAATTAGTGGCCGACTAGTCATTAAAATTTTTTCTTTGAGGTATCACCAACCAGTGAATTACCTCCCCCCGACCCGGAAATTTTAAGCACCCAGTACGGAAGTTTCAAGTGGCCCCCTCCCCACACGGGAAAAATGTTTAGAAAGAAACCCTGTCATCTATTATATTACTGTGGAAGATCAGTCATGTCTTGAGAAAATGAGGGCAATACGATGACAAGGGTAAGATTTTGATAAGTGTTTGGGTTAAGATTAGTTTGAGAGCTATGTGCATGGTTACGGTAAGGGTCATGTCTTTGGTTAAATGTAGACCTGGGTTAGTATTATGGTATCGATACTTGCTAAACAGTTTAAATTGGCCCTCAAGGCATTCACTCAAGTACCGGGTCTATTAGAGCTAGGAATAATGAGAGCCAATCTTAACCGGACGTAGTTTATTCATAATAAACCCAGTAGTTTTAAACAGGCCCAACCCAACAGCTTCCTCTAGCTCCCCCAACAGCTTCCTATAGCTCTGATTTAAACAGGCCCAACCCAACAGCTTCCTACAGCTCTGATTTAAACACGCCTAACCCAACAGCTTCCTATAGCTCTGATTTAAACAGGCCCAACCCAACAGCTTCCTACAGCTCTGATTTAAACACGCCTAACCCAACAGCTTCCTACAGCTCTGATTTAAACAGGCCAACAGTTACATATAGCTCCCCCAACAGCTTCCTCTAGCTGCCCCAACAGCTTCCTAAAGCTCGGATTTAAACAGGCCCAACCCAACAGCTTCCTGCAGCTCTGATTTAAACAGGCCCAACCCAACAGCTTCCTATAGCTCCCCCAACAGCTTCCTACAGCTCTGATTTAAACAGGCCCAACGCCCAACCCAACAGCTTCCTATAGCTCCCCCCAACAGCTTCCTATAGCTCTGATTTAAACAGACCCAACAGCTTCCTACAGCTCTGATTTAAACAGGCCTAGCCCCAACAGCTTCCTATGGCTCTTTTAATGATTTCCTGCGTCAAAAAAAATCGTTTCTATTTACAAAACAAGATTCTTTGCTGCGAGAGCTAAATGTTGAATGAGCCAACTTTGTAGTGTGTTGTGAGTGAATCAGCTCCGAACATTTCAACCGAACCTCCTCCAACCGCTGATGTTAAACGGCGTATAAATAATGTACGGAATCGCCGATTCCATTTCATGGCCGTTCTTTCAGCGGGTTCATAGAACTTCCCTGCCGGTTTTTGATTTATTTGGTTGTGTGTGTCGATGCACTGCTTGGGTCTTTGAATATTTTAGATGGCACACTGTCGACATCATTTGACCTCCTACGGAATACAATAGCCAGCGATTCACTGACTCTTCTCTCTTTACTCGATATACGAGTCACTGTTCTGTTCAGTAATATAAGAGTCAGTTACAACGTTATCTCTGTAATTACTGTAAGAGTCATTGACTCTGTGTGTATTAGTACAAAAGCGGCTGACTCCGTAATCATTAGATTTAGTTTAAAATTCTGTACTTTATAATTCTTATATTTAGTTCAAGATTTATTGCCTCTGTTAAGTAGGCACTTAAAATAAGAATCTTGACTCAGTGTTTTATTTAATTAAGTTAACTTTGTAACCTTATTTATAATGGTACTACTTATACTGTTCTTTATCTAAAAATGTATAAGACTATATATAAAGTCAGGTTATTTAGTTCAAGTCAAGACGCCGCTGACTCTATAATGTATGTTTCCTTAATTCAAGAGTCAATGACTCCCAGACTCCTCTACACCTAATTACATTCACATTACCATGACTCCACGTACATGACTAGGAGCGCTCTGAAAATATGAAGACAAGCAACCCGGCAACATACCACACGACAAATAAAACACAGGATAGCTATGATGGTAGCTAGCATGATTAGGGTAACTTTAAAAGGTCGCCACGGAAATTGCAGTTTGGCCCCCGAAGCCACAAGAAGACTGGCAAGATGAGAATTATACGGGGAGCGAAAATTGGGGAATGGCCAGAGAATGGGAAAGGAAACCGTGTTTCACCAAAAGAGCTCCATCAGTGCTCAGATTTGGGAGTAGACCACATTTATGTCAAATCTGGAAGCAAATTCGTCAATATGGGCTTTATTTTTTTTTATTTTTTTATTTTTTTTTTTTTTTACGAGTAAAATAATTTAAAAACTAATTGGGAGTGGTAGGTAAATTGCATAAATTAAGGGATGATTAAATAAATTAGTTAATGTAGATGACGTAAGTGTATTTTTACGATGTAAAAGCTCAAATTATCTTGTACAACCTTCAAAATTCAGTTGTCAAGTTTACGTAAAGCTGAAATCGGGAAATTTAAGTGATTAATGTATCTAAGATCTAATCTATTAATCAAGAGATGATTATATAATTTTAAATCAATATGAAACGTACTTTACATTCGAGTTGTGTTGTGTAAGTTAGCATTGAGTATCTGGAATTGAGGCTTTAGTTCAGCTATCATGCAACAGGAAACGGTGAGATCAAAGACTAGAAACAGCAAATATTGATGTGTTTATGATATAAAATTCCTGGGATTAGAATTTCTTATCTTAGGAAAATTTCGCTAACTTGAAGGAGAAAGCCAAAACTTTTCTACATGACAATGTATCAAAAATGTGTAGTTTAAGTCAACGAAAGAATCAAACGAACATCCATTACTAAATGCTGGACAGTCATAGACGAATCTGCGGGATGGGTAAAGAGGGGGAGAGGGCAGAAAAAATGGAAAGATAATTATAAGCCTATTAAAAATAAACAAATTATTTGTTTGTTTGTTTGTTTTAAATATTAATTTTTTCTTTTCTTAATATTTATGAATATATATATATAAATGTAGGTATGGGTGACTCTCTGCAGGGTCACAGTGGCTCCTTCAAAATATATATCCATATTTACCTAATCCAGGGGTCGGCAACCTGCGGCTCGCGAGCCGCATGCGGCTATTTTGATGTCAATATGCGGCTCTCCAGTTCCGTAATAATTATATTATTTTATTTTCAAAACTCAAAAAAACATTATACTGTAAAACCAAAAACAACTTTAAACAATTGTTTTTAAAAATGAGAATAGGTGGATTAGAGTATATGGACAGTTGACAGCCGCTGGGCATTAGCAATGTTTCTTCCTGACTCTTTTCTCCGAGCCAGCCCCGTGGCAATGTTTCCATGCTTTCCACTACTCAAGTGCATAAAAATATTAGTGGCTCTTTAAAAATTTGGAAATTTTGTAGATTGTAACTTTTGGCTCTTCCATCTAAAAAGGTTGCCGACCCCTGACCTAATCCAACAACCCCCACCCTAACACCAACATAATCTCACTGATAAATATGCCTAGGCAGACTGCTGTGTTGACAAAATTTCGAAGAACTGAAGTCAGTGTTGTTGTTGTTGTCTCAACATGATATTGATCTGAAGACCATAAGTGTTAGGGTTTGACTGATGAAAAGCTGGAGGTTAGGGTGAGGGTTTGACTGGTATAAAGCTGTAGGTCCATCCATTTACTGAGTTATCTGTTTCTTCTACAGAGTCGGGCCAGGCCGCATGGTCAGTCTAAACGTCAACACCGACCCCAAGGGCACGTGGGACGCCGAGAAAATAGCCAAGGAAGCTCGTGAGTACATGTTGACTAACACGGGGGGGGGGGGGTCTAATGAGGGGTCTAATGAGGGGGTGTCTAAGTGTGTCTAATTAGGGGGTGTCTAAGTGTCTAATTAGGGGGTGTCTAATGAGGAAGGGTCTAATGAAGAGGTGTCTAATGAAGGGTGTCTAATGAGGGGGGTCTAATAAGGGGGGTCTAATGGTGTCTAATGAGGGGGGTCTAATGAGGGGGTGTCTAAGTGTGTCTAATTAGGGGGTGTCTAATGAGGAAGGGTCTAATGAAGAGGTGTCTAATGAAGGGTGTCTAATGAGGGGGTGTCTAATAAAGGGGCGTCTAATAAGGGTGTGTCTAATTAGAGGGTGCCTAATGAGGGGGTGGTGTTTTAGTGTGTCTAATGAAGAAGGGTCTGTCTAATAAAGGGGTGTCTAATGAAGGGTGTCTAATAAGGCGTGGTCTAATGAGGAAGGGTCTAATGAAGAGTTGTCTAATGAGGGGTGTAATGAAGGGGGGGGTCTGATGAGGGGGTGACTAAATGTGTCTAATGAGGGGGTTTCTATGGGTGAAGGTTTCAGAGGTTGGGGCTTTAAAGGGGGGGGGGGTTTAAAGGGTGTCTGGTAAAAGGGTGTCATGGAACAAACTGAAGAGAATGGAGCTGTATTTGGTGCCCATACTCCAGCAGGACAGAGAACTCTGGGCAGCTGGAGTTGATGGCCCATGCCCCTGCAAGAAGCACGGGAGATGATGTTCAAATATTTTCTCTGTTTTGTACAAGAAAAGTCTATAATTAAACTCCACAAAAGCCACCTCTCCAGCCATCTCAATACAAGAGAAAGCTTGACTTATCTTCATACATGTATTAAATATGGCTTTTTGGTGCAAATGTTCAACAATGATAATTAATCAAGTTATTTTTAAATCATGACCTCCCTGTTCAATAGTTGTTTAAAAAACTCAAAACAAACGAATTGAAATCGCCCCCTCAGGAGTATCACGTGGTCACTTCTGCTACCTGTAATAGATCTCTTAACTGCCCATCTGTTATCATTTGCAAAGTCACGTGACAACACAAAATGGCGGGTTGACATGTGATCCTTTACTCCCCAACATCGTTAATTCTAAATCCGGACACTTTTTTTGCGTAAATATTTTAACCTAATTACTGATCTTCGTTGACAATGTTTAAAGCTAATAGTTTCGTGTCGCTACTGGCAGCTGAATGCTGTGCTACCTATAATTATACTGCTACTGGCAGCTGAATGCTGTGCTACCTATAATTATACTTCCAATAGTTTCGTGTCGCTACTGGCAGCTGAAGGCTGTGCTACCTATAATTATACTTCCAGTAGAGCACAATGCATGGATCAATAAATTATTTCTTTTAAAATTAATCAAGTTTGTTTTGGTGTCGCGAAGATTAGTCAAGAAAATACTCTCCTGTTATTAAAATATTTTTAACAATATTAATTTACAATTTTACAATATTAATTTACAAGTATGTCATGCAATTGTGCTGATCCTTCTAATTTCGATATTTGACTGGTAATTTTAAAAACAATAATTAGGTTAATTAAATACCAGGTTAATTAATTTGATCAGCAATTAATAATAATATTCTTAAGGAGCTTGTTAAAGGATCATGTTTTATGTGTTATGTAAGGGTCAGAGATTTGGACGAAGGAATTTTTAAAAGGTGCAGGGGGTTTTAGCTCGTTAAGGAGATGTTTCTGACGTCACTGGTCGTGAATGTCTATGACGTCACTGGTCAAGTGAATGGCTATGACGTCACTGGCTGGTGAATGACTCTGACGTCACTGATCTTGAATGTCTATGACGTCAATTTAGACATGGCGAATGTCTCTGACGTCACTAGCCAGGTGAATAGCTCTGACGTCACTGGCCAGGTGAATAGCTCTGACGTCACTGGCCAGGTAATTCTGTAGCCCCGCGCGTGAGGAGACAGCAGGAGACGAGATTGCGCACGCGAGTGTGAGCAGGAAAACAAGAAAGATTACGGTTGATGGCCTGACCGGGACTAACGAGGCGACCCGCGGACACGGCACGAATTACGGCTGAGACTTTCTCTCCGAGTTCCAGATTGTTCCAGGGGGTTCTAGAGACGTGCTGACAGCTTCAAAGGCCGGCATTGTCGTGGTCACGTGGTTATCGCTGGCCGCGAGAGGAGGCCTACTTCACGACGGTAGGGGGGTGGGGGAGGTCATGATCTTTTAGAACAAGGTCAGGTCAGTTTTCTGATCAGATCCATGATCTTTTAGAGCAAAATCAGATCGGTTTACAACCTAGGGCCATACGATGAGTTCAATGGCCAGAGTTGGGTTGTAGGGCAATGCGATGAGCTTATTGGCCAGTTGGGTTGTAGGGCCATCCGATGTGTTTAATGGCCAGGGTTGGGTTGTTAGGGCCATCATATGAGTTTAATGGCCAGTTGGGTTGTAGGGCCATCCGATGTGTTTAATGGCCAGGGTTAGGTTGTTAGGGACATCCGATGAGCTTATTGGCCAGTTGGGTTGTAGGGCCATCCGATGTGTTTAATGGCCAGGGTTGGGTTGTTAGGGCCATCCGATGAGCTTATTGGCCAGTTGGGTTGTAGGGCCATCCGATGTGTTTAATGGCCAGGGTTGGGTTGTTAGGGCCATCATATGAGTTTAATGGCCAGTTGGGTTGTAGGGCCATCCGATGAGTTTAATGACCAGGGTTGGGTTGTTAGGGCCATCCGATGAGTTTAATGCCCGGGGTTGGGTTGTTAGGGCCATCATATGAGTTTAATGGCCAGTTGGGTTGTAGGGCCATCCGATGAGTTTAATGCCCGGGGTTGGGTTGTTAGGGCCATCATATGAGTTTAATGGCCAGTTGGGTTGTAGGGCCATCCGATGAGTTTAATGCCCGGGGTTGGGTTGTTAGGGCCATCATATGAGTTTAATGGCCAGTTGGGTTGTAGGGCCATCCGATGAGTTTAATGGCCGGGGTTGGGTTGAGTACGTTATAAACATGTTATCAATATAATTGGTTTTTATTGACTAGTTGAACCCAGTTGTTCATATATCGGGTCTATTGGTTTAAAAAACGGAATATTTAAACTGGGTCTTAATGTTAGGTCTATACTTAACGTAAATAATAAAGCAGGTTTTTAATTTGGGTAAAACATAATTCTATTATTATACGTGATTCGAAGCATTGGCTTAATGGTTTGATATGTTTTGTGATACTAGCTAAAATATGATATAAGCTTTGCTTGGGCACAAACTTCAAATGTTTAAAACATACTCAACAAATACCAGAAAGATCCTAGTTCTACATTGAAAAAAAAGTTTCATAAAACAAAATCTTTCCACTCTGTTCGTCCGAATTGTGACAGTCTCTCTGCAACCTCGCGTGCTAGCTGCTTTCTGGCAAATTTGAAATGTCGTTTTTATAATTACTCGAAGAACAAATATCTTAAAGGTCATTGCTAATTCTAGAAGAAATGTTTCTAAAAACTACAAGACAAACGGATTCAGCCCAGAATTGTAATTAGCTTGCAATTATTCTAATTGTTAATGAATGAAAATTTTAGTTTTCTTTCTAAGCTACTTTGTTATTTATGCTAATTTCGTTTTGTCAGTGAAAATATTTCAAGAAAATAATTAGCGGCGAATAATGCAATCAGAATGATGTATCTGATTGCAGTAGCGACGGAATATTGTAAATTTAAATGAAGAGTAAAAGAAACTTTAAGAAGTAAATTAGAAGATGAAGTTAACTTTGAACGGAAGATAGGAATTTAAAGAAACTTTAAGAAGTAGATTAGAAGAGGAGGTTAACTTTGAATGTAAGATAGGAATTTAAAGAAACTTTAAGAAGTAGATTAGAATATGAAGTTAATTTTGAATGACTTAAGTGAACTAAACTAGAAAATAAGGAGTAGATTAATAGAGGGAGTAAACTTTGAATGGAAGATGGAAGTTAAAGAAAATTTAAAAGTAAATTAGACGATGAAGTAAATTTTGAATGGTAAAAGTTTATAGAAGATTGGGAAAAGTTTGGGAGTTGAATTGAAGATAGAAAATTAATTTAAAATTGTAATTAAATATTCGAATTCAAAGAAAATGTAATTATTTGCCATGGTAAAGACAAAAGGGCGAAATTATGAAGAGATTGGATTTTAAAATAAGATTTAATTAATGATTATATTTTACATATACGTATGGCTTCGGGTCACGTGCATCTATGATTGTTTGTAATGTGAGGTTTGGGTGACTATTGTCACTTGCTTATCACAGAGAAATAATAGTCATGTGACTATTGTATTTACTTATCATTGAGAAACAGTAGTAATGTGACTATTGTCACTAACCATAGTATTCCTGTTTTCTCATTTCTTCTACACCAGTTTCAACAACTTTTTTACCACACCGACACTTTTCAACCAAACAAATATTCCATTTGACATGTTTTTAACATAACCAGAAAACAATATATCTAAAGGGAGAGAAGCAACAATATATCTTAGGGGAGAGAAGCAAGTCTTTCATCTCTGTCGTCACGGGCAGAAGCTCCAGGAGCTTAATGAGTCACCGGTGAGACAGAAAACTGAGCCCTGTCGTTTAAACTCGATCACCTTCAGATATTTCATTCTGTCCAGAACCATCAAGTTTTCTCATGCACTCCACAAACATCAATTTTTCATGCTTTCCACATGAAATTTGTTCATGCTCTTCCCAAACATCAAATTTTCATGCTTTAGACAAACGTGAACTTTTTTCATGCTCTCCCCAAACATCATTTTTCATGCTCTCCCCAAAAATCATTTTTCATGATCTCCTCAAACATCAAGTTTGATCATTCTGTCCCCGGCCATCATGTTTTCCCGAGCCATCATTTTTTTTCATGCTCACCTCTCCCCCCCCCCTCAATTGTTTTTTTATGAACAACCCTACCTTCAAATTTTTTAAATGCTACCGCTCCCCCCTCCATCAAGTTTTTCCATGCTCTCCCCAACCCTCAAATTTTTGCCG